CGCGTGCTCGGTGGTGGGGGGCGCATTTCAGGGTGGGACCTTCCACCGCCTAGGGGGGCAGAAAAGCTGGCGGCGCTCCTGTGTGTAGCCCAGCACCAGCGCTGGGAACTACTCTCCTCGTGGGGGTGATTTTTTTACTCTCCCAGCGCTGGTGCTGGGCTACACACAGGAGCGCCGCCAGCTTTTCTGCCCCCCTAGGCGGTGGAAGGTCCCACCCTGAAATGCCGCCCCCCCCACAGAGACGGCGGAAGATCCTGCCGCGGAAATACCGCCCCCCAAATCGCAGCGGTCACCTTATGGGTTGCGCTGGCCCTGGCTACACAGCCACGGTAAAAGTGCTGCCACTTTAATGTTGCTAGTGAAGACATACCCTTAAAGTGCAGAGGCTCTAGCACTGTATTGACAGTGAGACATTACACCACAGAAAGCAATCAACTGGCCTCCGGAAGTGTCCCATAATCCCGCAAGTGGTCCCTCTGCTCATTGTTTTGAACTCCACTGCCCTGGAGAGATGCGCCCGTCCCATTTCTGACAGCCCTTGTGTGCTGTGCTGATCTGCTCTGCCTCAGGACTGGTTGCTTCCTGCTCCTGTATGAACATACAAGACAGCATGCTGTCCTCACAACACACATTCTCCTCCCCCCCTCCACACACACACCCTGTCACACACTCTGCCCCCCCCACCCCCACTTCAGTTGAAAAGCAGCTGGCAATGTAGTAGGATACCCCTGGAACAATGGGATTGGGAAACCTGCATCATGTGACACTGTGCCTGCCCCATGAGGCATTGCAAACCTTCCCAAAGCGCCCTGCAGCCCGTTGCACAGTGGGATAGCTACCACAATGCACTGCTCTCTTTGCCGTTGCAAGAGCTGCTAATGTGGATGCGCTCTACCGTCACAAGGAGCACAGTGTGGACATGCAACAGCGGTTTAATTCCAGCGCTCTAATAAACATGGTATAACTTGTTGTGCAGAAACTTGCCAGTGTAGACACACCCTAAAAGACATGCATACATATGTCCCAGGCAGGTAAGGTTACAACTAAGAGTATGTCTACACTGCCCACGTTACAGCGTGGCCGCGGGAGCACTGCGACGTCGGCCGTTCACTGACGCTTTATCGCGCGGGCAGGGCCCTGGCAG